AGCAAGAAGTAAATAAAGTAAAACGAGCATTTACTTTTTTGGATGCCAAGCAATGTTTGCAAACATGAACCCTATAAAGGCACCTTAATTATAAAACACTTGAAAGGCATGAATTATATATAGAAAAATATCTGAAGATATTTAAGATGTTTATAAGGTAAAAGCTAAGATGCCAACAAAAATTGTTTCAAGTTCTCCCCAAATTCAGGTCAATTTTTTTTACGCTCCACAAGATAGCATACCAACTGTGTATTCTAATTTATCAATTTATATAAAAAATTTCATTCAATTTTAGTTTGATAAAATTCTTCAATGGAAAAATAGGAGAAATCACAAAACCAGTTAAATATAGCCTAGAGGGCATAACCTTCCTTTCCCCACAAAACAAATAATGAGTTTGATCAAGGTCAAGGTTGAACATATTTGGGAGCTTCACTCATTTAAGAATTTTAATTGGGGGAGAATGTTTCTTGCATCAGAAAAACATTCAAATATGCAAAAAACACCTTAGCAACATAGACTAAACTGCTTAAATAGTTGAAACTTTTACCTGTCCCAGCTCATCATGACGCAATATATGTTGCAATTCGGTGCAGGGCAAGAAGGTTACTGTCAGTAATCAGCATTTTTTGTTAGACCTAGCTAGAATCTAATACTGTGCTTCACTTCTGAATAAGTACACAGTCCAGGGTACACTAGGATATCTTAAAAAATGAAAATAGTGAAATACAAGTTACCCTCTAATTTCAGCAAGGTCACCGGTAAGTAGTTCATAGCTGAGAGAGTAGTAGAAGTAAAGCCTAGCAGCTAGAACATCAACAGTCCTCCTATTCACGTTCTTCAGCCGAACAATGCTTGCAGAGGTGCAAGCTTTTGCTTAAAACAACGATTGCTATGTTACTTATGTAATAGACACAGAAAAAGATCCTTGATGAAACAATATTTGTTCACTCACCTCATTGTACTTCTTTTGATCAATCAGCAATATCAAGACAAGCAAGTAGCAGTAGATTTCCAGCTCTGGTAATGGATGCTTTGCAGAAGCTTGAAGTGAAGAGGTAGCAATATCAACTTCCATATCATGCTCATCTTCGTATCACCAATGTTGAGCAATGCAATGTTGGAGAATGTAATCCACACAAGTTTCCAAATTGATGAACACGCATCATAACAACTGCTACAACCTTACACTTTCAAAATAATCACTTTTCTCAACACGAATCGCTCAATAAAGAAAGCCTGAAGCTTTACCTTTGGAAGAGAAGAAGACAGCTTACTATGCGCCTCAGATCCCGGAGGAAGAGCGAAATTGAGGAAAGCAAAGAGAATGGGAGCCTTCAGTTTCCGTTGGATCGCCATGGTAAGCCTCACGGCTCGCACAATTCGCCTAATTTCACCAATTATCACCACACTGTTTCACTACATAACCCTAGGATTATGCTCAAAACGCATTACATTAAGCAGACTAGATCTAGGGTTGAAAGGAAGCTACCAGATTTTGAAGCACAAGGAATGAGAAGTTCAGCGGTTGTGCCGGAGAAAGAGGCCCGCCAAATCGAGCATCGGAGATCCAGGACCGCCAACATCGAATCTGTCCTCCAGGCACACACTAGTCGGCTCCACCAAAGGGTCGATCGGAGTCTGAAACATGGATCCAAGGTCCCCAGTGCTAGATCAAGTCGAAAAGTCGTCAAGGTTAACCAAATTTTTTGGATCGAATGTCAGATTTGCGCTATTGGAGAACTGTCCCACAAAGAGAACATCGGCTGGCCCCTTCGATCTAACGATGATGGCATGAACAACAAGAGGGAGAAAGGGAAAGGATACAAGAGAGAAGAGAGAAAAGGGAAATGAATTTTGGCGAAGGTTGGAGTCGAACTAGATTTGGGAGAGGGAAATATTTAGGTTTAGCTGGGGAGGGAAACTCGGAATGTAGAGAAGGAAAATTGGGGAAACTATGGAGGGAAGTGAAAATAAGGACAGTCGGCTAAAATCAAAGAGGAAAAAATTGAGTTTAACAAACAGTAAATTATACAGACAGTATATAGAAATCTGTATGTATATTTATACAAACGCAAGATGATTTCCGTTGGTATAGATATCCTCTATACAGATGGATAATAATTTTTCATTTATATAAACCTAATCTATACTAACAGATATAATTTTTTGTTTGTATAGACCTAACCTATACTAACGGATATATTTTTCCGTTGGTATAAACTTGTCTATACAAACGGATATATTTTTCCGTTGGTATAGACTTGTCTATACAGACGGATATATTTTTCCGTTGGTATAGACCCGTGTATACAAACGAATTTCAATCCGTCAGTATAGACTTCCGTTGGTAAAAGGCATTTTGCTTGTAGTGCCTGTGTATTACCCTACCACATAAGGCAAGTGAATCACAATCTTGGATATTATACAGAGAAAGAATGTGAGCTTAAACAGAATATTAATATGCTATGATACAGATTTGGTTTCTTTAACACGCCCCCGCAAGATGGAGGTGCCATCAGCAATGCCAATCTTGTCCCGTAAACAGATAAACTTGGTAGAAGGAAGAGGCTTGGTGAACCCATCAGCAAGTTGGTCGTTGGAGGCAATGTGGGAGACGCGCATAATCTTTTTGTCAACCAACTCACGCACAAAATGGAGATCGATGGCAATGTGCTTCATCCTTGAATGCAGAACTGGATTACTACTTAAATAAGTGGCACTCACATTGTCACAATAGAGAGCAGGAGGATC